AAGGCATTTAGGAAGAGCCTATCTGGTAAATTAGGTGCTGTGGGGGGTTCTATGGAGTCCAGAAAACCTTGTGATGCTAACAGAGTTTTAAAGAGATCTCCCACAAGTGAATGCCCAGCAGGCCTGGCAGTCAAAGGGGAAGCACCAGCAACACTTCCGCCTCCATCACAGAACCTGAATGAGAGGTTCAAAATTTCCAGGTTTGGGGTTTCTGATGGGGTTTCCCTCAGAAAACCACAAAATTACCAACAGCTGCCAAGAAATGCAAAAGTTTGCATGGTAGCACTAAAGGAGGGAAGCCTACAGAAACCGAGAGACCACAAAGCCAAGAAGCCCCAGGGCAAAGTTCTAATTTCTCCATCCAAAACATCACTTTGAATGAACAATAATCACTCACATTTGCATAGAGCTTTATAACTTATAAGCTCTTTCTTCACAACAGCTCAGTGAGAGACAATATAACTAAGTAGTTTTATCTCCATTTTACAGATAAGGAATTGGCATCAAGGAAATGAAGAGACTTCCTTGCTCAAGGTCACAAACTGAGTAGCAGGCCTAGAACCCACATATTCTGATTCCAAGTCCAGAGCTCCAGCAACTACACCCAGCTGGGTTTCACAAAGGTCTATCAAGATGGAGAGTTTAAGTTTCCCTCGATTATCATCATGTCCTTGGTTGTCCACGTATAATAATGGAATTTCCCCTCCCTTCAAGGCTCAGATCCCCACCTAATCACTAGTCCTGGGCATATACAGCAATGACTCAAGTTGCTTCCTGAGTAATAACTTCAAGGATGAAACAGCTTCTTTGGTGAAGCAGGGAAGCCAATTCTGTTCTAAGAAAGTCTCTTACTCCATAATTAATGTGGATGCATTACCCCTTAATCTACATCCTTTATTGGAGTCTCCTCTCTGCCCAGGATGCTAGGTATTATTATCCCATTTTACCGGCAGGAGAAACCTACTCACAAACAGGTTCAATGTAGGTAACCAAGCAGAGAGGCAGTGGTATGGCTAAGAATAAAACCTGGGGAATACACAACCCCAATCTTTGACCCTCTACCTCCTGACCCAGTCGCAATTAAGTCAAAATATACTGACAGTCTTCCTCCTTACAGTACCCCCACCTCCATTCCCATAGCCCCCTGCACAAACAGAGCTGCCAGTTATTCACGGGGATTACAAGAAATTTCAGTTTTGGAGAAAAAAAAAATCAGTTCAAATGAGGGCATAACCCTAATAACTAAACACTACCCCTACTCCTCCTGAACTACCCAGAGCTGTATTAGGGGCATAGCTTTGGGCTCTTCCTGATTCATAATGTAAACATAATAGGATTTAAAGGCAGAAGGAATCTTAGAGATCATCTATTCTAATCCTCTGGATTTTACAAGAGGAAAACTGAGGCACAGAGATGCAGAGCACTATAATGGAAAGAACAGATTTAGTTAGAAGATTTGGGTTTAAATTTTAGATCTGCCATCCATTTACTACCTGTGGGGGCCTCAGGCAGGTCGAAACCTCTTTTGGACTTCAGTCTATTCATCTGATTTGGGGATTGGCCTAAATGATCTCTAAAGTTCCACCTAGCCCACATCCTACCAAAAAATGACTTATCCTTAACCACAATCTTAGTTATAACTCTAAATCCAGTGTTCCTGAATCCTGGTAAATTCTGCAGATTCCTAGAAATCCAGGACTGTATGTCCATGGAAAAGGCAGAAGACCTTTACAATGCTTTTACTTGGTTGGTTTACCCCTCTTCCCTCCCTAGGGGCTCAACATCCTGATGCTGAGCCCAAGAGTGGATGATGGATCAGTACTATACACTACATCTCAGGAAAGGTGTGATGATGTGATGAAAAGTACACTGGGAGTTAATAGACCTAGGGTTTTTTTTTTCCATATTCTGGCACTTATTATGTGACCTCAGGCAATTTGCTACCCTTCTCAGAGCATCATTATCTTTCTCTGTAAAATGAGGCTGGACTACAAGATCTCTAGGGCCCCTTTCAAGATTAAAGGCCTATCAGGCCTGGGGTGTAACAATTAGCATTCTGTACTCTCAATGAAGCAATCTTAGTTCAAATATTGGTAAAACTTTAGTTTTCATCCTAGGCAGTGTGGCAAAATGAAAAGAACATTGGCTTTGGAGTCAGAAGACCAGATTGTGGATCCCAGCTCTGCTACGTATTACCTGTATGGCTTTGGGAAAGTCAATTTACCTCTTCAGGCCTCAGCTTCCTCATGTTTGGGGGGGGGGGAATGATGAGAGATTAGATGACTTCTGAAGTCCCTTTTAGCTTATAGTTCTATGCATCAGGTCAGAATGACACCTTAAAAATAGATCTCCAGAGCTCAGACAAACCTATAGCCAACTTCAGCCTTCAAGACTGGTAGGAAAAATAGGTTTATGTCACCCTGATTGAGCTGCGATAACCTAGGAGCAAATGATTCCTTGGAAGGTAAATGTCTGAGTATCCTTTGTCCAGGCCTGAAAGTTGAGTGCCTTGAGTAATAAACTCATCTTCAGTTCCCCTCTTACCACAAAAGGTCAGAAATAATGCTAAAATATCTTATTGCAGCTCACCCATGTAAATAACATTTGAGGTAATATGCAAAGGATTCAATATGACTAGCTAAATAATTATAATAAATAGGATTTCCAATTTCAGGGGAAGAGAAAAAGGGAAGAAACAATATAAACAAAGCTTAACTCTTCTGCAGAGGGGCACCATCCAGCCTCCTCAATGCCTTTGGGCCCTAGAGCTAAGATGCTATTAAAAGGACATAGTGCCTGCCACTTAGCACAGTGCCTGGCACACAGTTATGTGCTTAATAACTGCATATGATTGACTGACGGACTGCTTAGCACAGTGCTTGGTACATAGTCGGCACCTAATAACTGTTTTCCTTTCCTTCCTTCCCCCCATAGAGATCCTATTCTTGGTAACTTATGTACCCTGGAAAGCCTAGGCAGAGCTCTCCACAGGCAGGGATTGAGGTGATCCTTCCCTGGCTGCTGACTGGCTACAAATGGCACAACTCACGGGGCAATGTCACAACAGGACAAGGGTCAGAAGGAAATGGTGCACATTCCCCACCAAGAGCTGCCACAGAAGATATATCTGAGGCAGTGGAATCCTGTCCCTCCTGTAATCAGCTGAACAAATATTTGCCCCCAAAGACAAGCTAAGCAGGAGGGCAAGCTGCACAACCAACAGGAACCATTTAATCATTATCCCCAAAGGAGTTCATTTACAGAGTAGATTTCCAGGGCTGGGTCAGCCAGCCAGGGGAGAGGGTCACAGAGTCTGCCAGGCTCCAGTTCAATCTCCTCCCTTTAAATTGGAGGTGGAAACAGGATTATGGAGAAAACAATGGATACCTAAATACTGGCTGGGGGAGGTCTTGGACAGGCTGAATACAGATGAGTGATCCCTTTAGCAACTTCAGAAGGCTCAAGCTATAGTTCTGAGACTGCCACACCCTGGGCACAGCCTAGGAACAATCACATTCCTCACATTCCAGAGTCCATGGTACAGCTACTCCCTTTCTCCTCAGCTCCTTCACTCTATCTCTTATTTTTGAAAATATGCTGGATTTCTTGGGACTCCTGAGAAGTCAGCAAGCTAATGGAATACCTGTACCCGCTCCCAAGCAATGAGAGAAAGGAAGATGCCTTTGGCCCCACACACCTCCCCCTCCACAACTTTATGACTTAGTAAAATGTGTGATGTTTCAGTCACCTAACCTGTCTGGGCCTCTCCTTCAACATCTACAAAATTGGAGGACTGCATTATACGCTTTTTAAGGTCTCTTCCAGCTCAAAAATATAGTATCCTTGCTAAGTTCGGATTTTACTCTTCTTAGGCAATACAGGGATAATAGGTAGTGAACAAGAGTTGCCTTTTCCTGGGAGGAGCAGAATTAATTGTTGCTTCTGAGTTCTTTGGTCTTGGTCCTAGCCTTAGTAGCAGAGTGCTCTAAGCAGAAGTATCAGGACCCTTTCTGAAAGAAGAAAATTGGGGGATGAGGTGGGAGAAAGAGTATGAGAGTTCAGCTGCTGTTTACTAACTGACATCAGGCAGTGCACAGTTTATACAGCATGACACAGCAAGAGCTCAGCAAACTGACAGATCCTGTGAAAAGTTGCACATAATGAAGAATTACAGAGCAGTGCCAGCCACAACCAGAATCCTGAGGAGCATGGCCCACTTCATCCTAAAAATTTACACCCATCTTTGGGTCACTGAGTCTCCCACCTGGCCAGGCCCATGCTCTGCATCAGTCCCATGTCTAAAAGCCCCTTTTCTGCTCTGGTGGGGAAGTATGGTGGGGAAGTACAAAGAACAGGGGACTAGGGTTCCCAGAAGTATTCCTACTAAGGACCAAAGTCTTGGGATTTGTATCCTGGGTCTGCCATCAATTAAAAGTGTGACTTAGGTCAAGTGATTTGACTTCAATTTTCTCATCTGTGAGATGATGGAGTTGAAAACTAGATTACACTGGAAGGATCTTACAGCTCTAAATCCTATAATCAGTCTACGAAAAGTACAGGTCAACTATAGGGTTTATTTACTTGTGAAGTAAACAGAACCTTGAGTTTTCAGAGGGGAAAAAAAGCTCATCAAAATAACTTCCCTTGCTTTCCCTGATACTTCCCAGCTCTTGGGACAAAAGGAATAAACCAAACTAACTTCAATTGTGAGACAGTGTACTTCAGGAAAAGCACTGGCCTACAGAGGCTCTCAAGATTTTCAGAGTTTAGCCAGCCTATCCATTAAAGGATGGGACCCGGTTTCTAGACAACTACTCCTTAGGATAAAGACACTAAAAATATAAATGGTGTTTGGCTATTCATTGGTACATGGTCCTCAATGCCCACAATGACTACCCATCGCAACAGTTTGACTTGTACTACATGTCAGAAAAATTTGGGGTATCTCTAGCCAGAGAGTAGGGAGAAAAGAGAAGCAGAAAGGGGTCCCTGGTCCTTACCCAACCGCCATTTTCTTGGATCCAAGGGTCTAGGTGGTCATCCAAGTAAGTGGCCATCCAGGAGGTGATTCGTCCTACCAAGACTTCCATCTCCTTATCCACGCTTTCCACACACAATGCCCCTCCGAAGGAGAAGAATGCCACAATTCGGCCCCAGTTCACCCCATCCCGAAAGAGTTCATTCACTACCTGCTCAAAGCTCTGATAAGCCGTCCCTGGAGTGATGTGGAGCTGGGATGTCAGGTCACTGAAGGCCCTTCGGTACCGGAGTTCAAATTCATCTCCTGCCTCCCTCAAAGCTTGCTTCACAGCAGCCACCGGTATTGTCTCATGGGCATCCAGGCTGCTGCTGTGTCCTGTGGCCCCACTCACTGCATGGCTGTCAGCAGGGTGCCAAGAGGGGCTGCCATTCACAGTACTAGGTATTTCTGTCCCTTCTGGGGCCTCAGTCCTATTCTCATCTTCAAATTGACTCCAACTGTATCCTTTCTGTGAGAGCTTGTAAGAAAGAAAGTCAACCACCAGCTCCCGGTTGCTGTGAGACATTTTTACATCAGGAATGGGCTGATCCAGTTCATTGTCCAAAGCACCTGCTCTCTGGGTCTGGGATCTGCTTGACAATTCTCTTCTGAGATTCAGGGCAAAAATGCTGGTTCTGAACAGACAGAAAGTGAGAGAGAACTTAAGGGGGGAAAAATGCAAAGGCCCCATCCACCCTACCGTATCTTATTCAACCTCCCAAGGTTCTAGGTTTTCTTACAGACCTCAGTAATTTTCCACCTATCTTTCAAGAGACAGGGACTGAGTAAGACTGAAAACCCATATCTAGGAACCGATCCTCAGACTGGGCTCTCCACTGATTATCACCTCCTCTAGGAAATGCCCCTTCCACCCGCACCATCCCCCCACTCCAGGAATAACCTTGCATTCAAATCAGCTGTCTGCGCCCGGGTCGCCCCCTCCCCCCGGGCTGCAGGTTCGGACCCAGGAGCCGGTGCTCTCACTCCCCCTCCATCGCCCGCATTGAGGGCTGCGCTGAGCCGTGCTCCCGGCCCCCGGGACAGAGCCCGGCCCCCTCGCCGATCATGCCCGCCCCTCCGTGCTCCGGCCTACCGGCGGGGCGGGCACAAAGGCTCTCGGGCCCAGGCCGACTCGCCGGAGGGGTGTGTAGCTGGGGTTGGGGTTTAGTTTGCTGTTTTGTAATGTTGTTTTGTGAGCGTGTGTGGTTTTAATTTAATTTAAAGGGCCCAGCCGCGAGGGAGGCTCCTCAATGGGAGCCGGCTTTCCGAGGGTGGGTTCTCAGCGCCGGTGCCTTAACCCTTTTTCCCTTCCCCGAGGCCGGGGAAACGCCGGCGGGCCGGGAGCCAGCGCGCTTTCCTTCTCCCCGCACCCGGCAAACGTCCGCGAGACCGAGGGGCGCCTCGGGTGGGCTCGGGGCCGGCTCCGCTCGCCCCTGGCGGCGTCCGAGCATCATGGCTGCCAGCGCTTCAGACAAAGGAGCCGGAGCCCGGGCCGGGGGGCTACGGCTGCCCGGGGGCGCCCGGCTTGGACCCGCGTGGGCCCCGCTTCTCCCCAGCTTTTCTTTCGCTGGGGGTCCCGGCCGGGATCCCAGGACTCCTTCCCCGGCCCTTGGCTCCACAGCGCCGCCCGCCGGGGAGGTGCGGCCGGGCCCAGCCCGAGCCACCCACGTTGCCGGGCAACCGCCTTCCTTCCCTCCCGGCGCCCCCCGGACCTCAGCACAGGCGGGAAGGAGGGGGAGGAGGGGGCGTCCCGCCCCCCGATCTCCCGGCGGCTCCGCCCCCCGACGGCCAATCAGAGAGGTGGTCAGGGCAGGGGGCGGGACACGAAGGCCTCCATGCCACCCTCCGATTGGGCGCGGAGCCCGTCACGCACCCCCCCCGGGCGGCGCGCTCACCTGCGAGCCCCACGAGTAAAGGGGGGGCGACATCCCCTCCCCCGCCTGCGTTGTCCCAACAACCGAAGGGCTCTTGTCGGCCGATCTCCCGGCAGCGAGCTGAGAGCAGGTGGCCTGCGCACCTACCTGACTGGCCTTCTCTGCCGGAGTTTGATTCCAGGCGGACCCGGCCTCAGTTTCCCTTGAAAGAGGCCGGGGGAACTTGCGAGCTCAGTCACTTCCGGTGCCTTGGCAGCGCGCGCGTGCCCGAGACGTATATGGGAGCGCGCACCCCGAGGCCGCCCCCCGCCCCCACCGAGGAAAAGAGAGAGAGAGAGAGAGAGAGAGAGAAAGAAAGAGGGAGAGAGAGGGAGAGAGAGAGCTCCCCTTGTGGGCCATATGGAGTAGTGACCAAATACCTCTTTGCAGTGGGCTAACTTCTCATTCATTAATTCCATTCATTCATGATTGGTGGCTTGGAAGGGACCTTAGAGGTCATAATTCATTTCATTAACACTCAAATTTTTTTATTCTTTATTTCAATAAAATTCAATAAATATTAATTAAGCGCCTACTATGTGCCATGCACTTTGCTAAGTGCTGGGATTTATTTGCATTCATATTTTAACATTAGCACGGTATGGCTTGTTTATAACTTAATTTTTCAAATATTTCTCTTCCATGTGAGGTGAAGAACTGGTCCAGATTTGAGTAGGAAGAGATCACACACATCTACACTGGGAAAACTGCAGTATTTTCAGTGATGCCAAGATGCCACAGTTGCAAAAGATCACCTTCCTAGCAGCAACATTCTTCCATTTATAATATATGACTTTGTATATATATGACCAGGGTTATGGCCAATCACAGTGAGTGCAAGGGCAAACTAACAGATCCAAATATTTCACTGGTATACACAAAATATTAACGAGCTCCTTGGGTCTCTTAATCTAGCATATTGACTTCTTCCATAAATTTGGAAAAAAAAATCATCCCCAATGAAGCATGTATAGACTGGAATCTGCACCAACAAAGGGGACACACAAACCAATGAGATCCATCAAAATATCACTGGCCTACATAGATGTAGATGTATGGATAGAGAGATGTATATGTCCTTTTGTTGTTGAGTCGTTTCAGTTGTGTCCAATTCTTCGTGACCCTATTTGGGGTTTTCTCAGTAGAGATACTGGAGTGGTTTGCCATTTCCTTCTCCAGCTCATTTTACAGATGAGGAACTGAAGCAAACAGGGTTAAGTGACTTGCCCAGGGTCACACAGCTAGTAAGTATCTGAGGTCATATTTGCACTCCGGTCTTCCTGATTCCAGGCCTGGAACTCTATTGACTGCACTACCTAGCTGCCCCACAGTTACTTAACTACTCTCAGCCTTGGTTTCCTAATTTGTAAAATGGGGGGATGTAGATTGCTTTGCAAACCTTAAAGCACTATACAAAGGTCAGCTATTATTATTCCCGCTCCATGAACCTTCTTTTATACTAAAGAAAAATAGTTAAGTAAAATCAACCAACAATATTACTGATGGGGTGCTTTGGTGCTTGTGCTTGGGTGCTTGTGCTTGTACTTGTACCCCAATTTCTCCCTAGCCTCAGAAACACTATCCCTGACAGTTTCTCCCCAGCCCAAGGACACTGTGCCTAGCAGTTATTCATGCGTGGGCCTCAGCACGACCCTTATCTCTCTCCCTGGTACAGCTACACAGAGCTGGGCTGCTCAGGCCCCAGCCCTCAGATCATGTGTCTGGAAGCCTCCCAATTCCTTAGTAAGTTCCTGTCTTGTAAGAAAGCTTCCCTTGTTGCAGAACATTCTCTCATCAAGACAGAGGGAGAGGGGTGCCTTGCCCAGCCCAAGGAGTTTTGTCCTTGGCCAGCCCAAGGACTCTTCCTCCTGCCAGATTCCAAAGATCCATACCTCTGTCATCTCCCTCCCTGTCTGCTATACTCCCTGTACTTTCCCATCCATAGCCCCCAAAGACACCTGCACCTTTGGATTACCTCATCAGTGTCCCTGGCATTACTTTCCCATGCTCTTTTCCATATAAACCCTAGCTGCATTCTCAGTCTCTTGCAAGATCCTTAAGAATCCTTGCCCGCTGAAAAGCGTAACAATAAACTTTGCCACCTTGGCTTAAAGAATGCTTGAGTCTGTGAATTCATTCCAGACGACCCCGTCCTGTACTCCGGTCTTTGAGGGGTCACAACCTCTCAACCTCTTACACCGCAACATTACCACATCTGAAAATATATGAAACATTTATCATTCACAGGCTCACACTTTTCTATTGAAAGGAGGGAAGTATATTTCAAAATCCAGGAGCAAAATTGTTCTGACTTTGCCTACCTCAACTCAACTATGAAGGGGGCCTCAACTCTCTCTGCCCACTCCAATCCATCCTCCATCTAGCCACTAAAGGGATGCTATAAAAGGCCTGATCACATCAGCTCCCCTGCTCAGTAAATTCTAGTAGCTCCCTATCACCTTCAGGATCAAATGCAAAATTCCTTGTTTGATGTTCAAAACTCTTCATAATCTAGTTGTTTCCCCCCCCTACCCCCAGCCCCCCAATCTTTCTGATCTTCTTCCCCCAGATATTCTTCGATCCAGTGACGGTGGCCTCCTGGCTGTTCCAAGAACAAAACACTCGTCTCTGGCATTTTCTCTGCCTGTTTCCCAGGCTCAGAACAACTAACTAGTGCCTACTAACCTCTCTGGCTTCCTTTAAGTCCCAATTAAAATCCCATCTTTTACTGGAAGCTTTCCCTGAGCACTCTTAATTCTAGTGCCTTCCCTCTGTTAATTATTTCCTACTTATCCTGTATATATTTATTTGTATGTTGTCCCTCCCATCAGACTGTAAGTTCCTTGAGAGCAGGGACACTTTTGGCTCTTTTTATATTCCCATAACTTAGCACAGTGCCTGGCACACAGTAGGCACTTAATAAATGTTGGTTGACTAATTTCTTTCTGTCTTAGACCACTCTGGAACACATGCCTAATAGTAGTACCATTGGGTCAAAGGGCATGAAAAATTTAATTGCTTTTGTCACATAATTCCAAATTGTTTTCCACAACTTTCAGACCAATTTACAACTCTTCCTCCTCCTATTCAATTAAATCAGCAAACATTTATTAAATACCTATTATTGGCAGGATTAAAAGACAAAAATAAAACAGTCCTTGCCATCAAAGAACTTACATTCTATTGATCATCATCGTACTGTCTTCCCACAACCCCAATAACATTATTTCTATAGTTTATCAGCTTGACCATTGTGATGGGTAGAACTTGAGGTGGAACCTCAGAATTATTTTAATTAATACTTGTTATTAATGATTTGGAATGTTTTTAATGGTTATCTGCAGCTTCTAATTCTTTTCAAAACTTCATATTCTTTGACCACTTCTCTGTTGGGGAATGGTTCTTATTGTTTCTTTTCTTTTTTTTTTTTTTGCTAGGCAATTAGGTTAAGTAACTTGTCCAGGGTCACACAGCTAGTACCTATTATGTGTCTGAGGTCGCATTTGAACTCAGGTCCTCCTGAGTCCAGGGCTAGTGCTGTATCCACTGCACCACCTAGCTGCCCCTATTGTTTCATATTTCTTAGATAAATATTGGATAATAGGTTTTTACTCAGAAGCTTGATACAATGTTTAACAATTTTATTATAACTTATTGGTTTAGTGCAAAAGTTTTTTGATTTTCTATCATTTGAAATCGCCTATTTTGTTTTTTTGGTTATAAACTTTTCCCATAGCTATAGCTGTGAAAAAGTATCACCTTCTGCTCTCCAACTTTTTCATGACATAACTTTTTTATATTTAATTTGTTTATCCGTTTGGAGTTTGTTATGTAATACATATATCTATGGAACATATGGTATAAGATGTTGATCTAAACCAAGTTTTTGCTAAACTATTTTCCAGGGTTTTTTTTCTTTCTTTAAAAGTAATTTTACTCATATATTGTGTTTTTACATTGCCTAAATTTTCCCCTGAGTCCCTTACTCCTCACACAGCAAGCTGTCACATATAGCATGGAATGCTTTCTAGGATTTTTTTTCAGTAGTTTTTGTCAGATAGGGCATCATTCTCCAAGTACTTTGCATTTAGGGTTTTATCAAACAGTGGTCTACTATATTTAATTGCATCTGGATCTCGCTAGTCTAGTCTTTTCTCTCTATCTGCCTCCATCACTCAGCAACTACTTTTCCTTTGACATTCACTCTATCCAAATTTATCACTCAATCCAGATCCTAGTGTCAGTTATCTGCTGGCCTCCCAGGTCATGCTTCCTCCTTGCTCAAAGAGTTCAGTATCTAGCTCACAGTCTTCATCTCCATGCAACTCTTGACTTTATAGTAGCTAGGGTGCTTTAACATACATATTGATGGTTCTTCAAACACACCTTAGCTTTCCTGTTTCCCAATCTCTTCAACTTTTGTGATGACTCCTTCCCTCCACCTCTGTCACATACAGGGGCAATGACCCCATTTGATCTCACTGATGCCCACAAGATTACATATCCCCTCCCAATATTAAGAATTCCTGAAATTCCTTTATCCAACCACAACTGCCACCATTTCATCTCTTCCAATGCCTTATTTCTCCTAAATCTGTTCTTCATCCTCATCCTGATCTCCAGTCCCTCCACCCCTGACTGTTCTCCTAGGCTATCACCCCTACTTCGGTTTCACCTTCCCTCAATTCTGGATCTTGACCCTGTAGTGAACCAATTCAACCTTGTACTTCCATCTGCTCTTGCCCCTTTGTGCTTTGTCAAACTCCAGTTATGTAAACTCAGACCATCTGACTCTTCAAGTGCTGCTGAACAGAGTTAGAGAAATTAATCAATTACCCTTTCTTAAGTCTCTATTATGCGCTAAGCACTGTACTTAACTGATTGGGATCCAAATACAAAGAATGTAAAAAACCATGCTCTCAACACCTGGGGAAACACTCTTGGCTCAGTTCCTACATAAAATTGGTCCCACCAAATTCATTTCCAAATGAGCACGACTGCCTAGATGAGTCCTCGTCTTAGATATTGATGGCCTGGGTCTGGAAGGTCACTTCTTGGTCCTGGGGGCATTGAAGTACTAGCTATAAGCCTAGACTCTGAAATCTGACCTTTTGAAACTTACATGGTAGGAGCCTTCATTCCCTTCAGCTACGATAAAAAAGAACACAACTAGCGGCCAAGGAACAATGCCTGTTTCTCAGAGAGGCCAAGAATGAAGAGGTTTAACCACTGACAAAGCAGCTGAAAGGAC